ACGGATTCTCCTTCCATAGAAAGGAATCCAGAGGAACATGCAGATCGGTTTATCAAAGCAAGAGGACGATGGACATCACGAATCCTAGCGATCAGAGAAGAATCTGCTTGAGCCCATTAAGTTTAATTTCCCTAAGCCCAAAAATACAGCTAAACATAGATGATTAAAGACACATGTCATGCTGAGAACAAACTAATTAATGACGTGGAGGATCCTAGAGTGAAAAAACTTTACTTTATAGTAATAGATAGTTCCATATTCTCTGTCTGGTCATAAATCAAACTTACAGATGTAATCATTATTGATGATTGATAAAACTGACTGACTGGATTTTTTTTTTTTTTGACTGTTTGAAATTGTATTGCAATGGAATTATAAACATAAGTAACCACCTGGAAACAACAAAAAAAGGAGATCAGAAAAATTGTATATGATAAAAACAAAATAATTTGAGAAGAAATTAGAAGATACAGAGAGAGATCATCGCCTGCAACGAGTGATAGCGCTACAGCCACGAGAGTAAGGGTTGGCCTGAGCTCCACGTCGGCAGTTGTAGTAAGATGTGCCGCGCCGTGAGCATGGAACTGTGTTTCTCCTCAGCGCATCGTAGCTTATGTACCTCGTCGTTGCCAAGATACACCTGTTTATCTCGGAGTCCATCTCGAACTCCGCCGTCGCCATCGAGCACTCCGCGATGGAACCAGTGTACTCTGTCTTGAACGGCATGAAATCGGCGGCGAAACCGACGGACTGGGAGTAAGCGGCGGAGAATAGGCAGAAGACGGTGAGAATCACAATGATCGGGAGTCCTCTCATTATTTTCTCTCTGTCTCTCTTTAGCTTTTTTTTCTTTGTCCGGTTCAAAAGATTTATGAAATAAGAAAGAGAGAAAGCAATGGTTTAAAAGAGAAAGGACAAAGGAAAATGCCACTAGGAGTAGAGATTATTTACGGGTTTGCCACTTGACTATTAATACAGATACAAGCAAGTTTTCTTTAAAAAAGCTTGATTAGTTATGGTTTAACGCGTTCAATACCTTATATCAAACACTTGAGATTTTTTTGACTTTTCAAGTTTTGATTTTATAATATTGGAGGATAAGAGGTGACCATTGGCTATGCCAACAACTGATAAATAAAAAACATAACGTATATCAGATGCTGTAATTGGTTTAACTATCAAAATATGGAGAAATATTTGAGATTGCTGTTACAGAAAAAAAGAGAAAAATATTTGAAATTAATGGCATAAAAATTAAATGTCAAGAGAAAAAGAAGGAAAAATCAACCTCATATGAAATAGTATAGATTTCTTTTCCTTGACTTTTCAATTTTTGGTTTTGTTAAACCGTAAGGATAAGAGATGGCATAATACATGACCCATTTACTTGATTGAATATGCTACCAACACAATAATGTAAATGTTTATTTAAGGATGAAATTGGTTAACACTTAACTATCCAAACTAAGAGAAATATTTATAACCAATCTAACAAAATAAAATTAAATTAAAAGAATTAAAAAAGGAATAATCAACTTCATCTTCAAAAATGATACGCAAACGATTTTTTTTTTGTTTGTCACAATACGCAAATGAATAATTGATTTATATATATACTCAAGTCAATTACGATCAGTTGACAAAAGTTCTTCCGTCTTAAACTTTTTGGAGAATACAAAATCATTGTGGTTTGAAGACTAAGAGTTTGCAAATTAAGTTAATATGTATGTTTATTTAGATCCGTTGATAAAAGTCATGGTTACTAAGATTGAGCAGGTGAAAACTAATAACCACTACATGGATTCATTTCAATAGCATTCCAACATCTTGTTTCACTATCTAAGTTTACACAAGAGAATCTTACCCTGGTTCTGATAAGAACAGTAAGTAGAATTCCCCTTTTTAACTCAGAGAAAGTAAGAACATAAAGCAGTTAAGGTTGGTCTTAGAGTCCGTACTATCTCCACAAACACGCAATGACCAAAATATTCCTAACCTATTTATAATATTATTTACACATTTATCCAGCATCTCATACTATAGTATGCTTATCAGCTTACCTGTCAAATGGAATGAGCATGCTGATCATTGTGCCCGTTAACCGGATAAAACTGCCGGATGAAACCAAAATTGGTAAACGAGAGGTACGGTTTTGAAAAGCTTTGGCTATCGGATTGGAGTTAAAGTGGCCTCAAGTAATCCAACTTGGACAAACATTAGGTTTGATTAAGTTAAAATTTAGGACAGTCCTTAAGGGACACACATATTCAACGAATATGGTCTATCATGAAATGAAATATATAGCATCTCCCTTTATATAAAATCAGAGCTAGTGGAGTCTGGTTTACATGCAGATGCAGAACCACCTAGCCAAACCAGATCGAGGTAAGTGATCCAACTTTATAATACGTTTCGAAGGCCAGAAAACAAAACCAGCTTTCTATCTTTCTACCTCCAGTTTGGCCAAATTATCCCCTAATTTGGTGAGAGTTGCATTTCATTCGAACTTCGGTTTGAAAGTAAAAGCCACATGCTGGCCACTTATTGACCCTAACATCGCAGGTGACACAAACAATCATATTCCCATCCAAGGGATTGATGCATACGACACATGTGATGGGGAAATCCAGGGAAGTGTGAAGGAAATAAGGACCAAGAAAGCTACTGAAAATATCCATGCAAGGATGCTACTCAAACTTGACAAAATCATAGACACAACAGGCGGATATAGCATTGTCGCAAAACGTTTGCCGGTATACGACCATATACTTCCCCTGAAAATTGTCATAGGAATAAAAGGAAACAACACACCAATGCATGGTAAGGAGAAAACTATGTAAGCACATATATCTTACTAGATAATGATGACATTATAGTTAGTTCTGAAACCACCAAAATGTCAACATATACAGCTGAGTGTAGTTTGGATCAAACAAAAGAAAGTTATAACATCTATAAAAGAGAGAAATATACCTTAGTGTTACAGATAACAGTGTTATGTGCATAAATAAAGTCCAATCCTTTGTATACGAACAACCTTCTTTGTATAATTGCATATATATACAATTCAAAAAGGCAAGAAACATACGATGAAAGTATATACCTATCAAATGATCTGTGATCAGATAGAGTATCTCCTGAGGTTATTATCCACAGATAAAATCAGGAAATAGAAATAGACGCCCACCGTGGGGCTCGAACCCACGACCACAAGATTAAAAGCCTTGCGCTCTACCAACTGAGCTAGACCGGCTTTGTCATATTAGGTACGTACATAACAACTATAGACTGTTCAAGTCAAGAACAATGACGAGTCTCATATTTTGTGAAGCTATCCCCATTTCTAGAAGTTTCTTTGTGCTGTATGTAGATGAAAGTTCGGAGTTTTCAGTGTCTACAATACGTTTAATCAAAAGTCAAAAACTCTCACTACGATTCTCCATGTACATGTTATGTAATCTGTCTCAATAAGATTCCAGGATCAGTTTTGGCTCATTCAAAAACATCCGTTCCTAGTTAATTCATTTAAGTTTCAAGCTTCTCAACATTATCTTACATATACAGCTGAGAAGCTTTCCAACAGCTATCATCTTACAGATTCACAAATCAGCCACAACCAGATTCATAAAAATAGAGACTTCCATTAGATCCAACATCATGTTCCACACAATTTGTAACAGCTACATATTAATTAAAAAAAAAAACTTAAAACAAGAAGCAGAACAAAAGACAAAAAACCTTTGAAACAGTTCAAAGCTCGTCTTCATCTCTCAAGTACTCTCCAATATCAGCTTGATGAAGCACAACGATACCATTCGGATCCAACTTCCGACAATCCTGAGTACTCTTCGCCGCAATACCAAACCCTAACGGAACATCAGACATCGAGAACACGACAACTCCATCTCCAGGGACAATGCTATCAGTAATCCTCCCTAACCCTCCTTTCAACACATGGTTCCCGTAAAGAAACGACATCTCCGAGGTGGGTTTCAGCCATACCTTGTGTTTCGCGTTCGCCGCCAAGAGATTGAGCGACATGATCGTCAAGTGGAAGCTCCCCGCGTGAGTGTACTTCCCGATGCAGGTTCCGAGAGAGACTAGGTTTTTACGGGAGATGTTTGTAGCTCGCTTCACGAGAGACTCGCTTACGTAGTAGACTCTGTTCTTCTGGAGGCGGAAGCAGTAGCGGCCGGGTTCTGGCTCGGGTCCTTCGTGGGAGGGGTTCTCGACGATGTTCTTGAGGTTGTTGCCCACGAATTTGAAGATCTTTTCGAAGACTACGGTCGTCTCGTTCTCGTCTAACGGCCTCATCTTTTCTTTTGGGAAGAGGGATGATGGTTAGGACAAGGAAGCGCTCTGTTTCGTCTAAGTTTTGGGTTCTCTTTTTAGGGTTTTTACGGCCGATGAATTTTATAATTTCGAATTTGGTCCTTTTGAAACAGGTATTACTAATCTAACCCCTACATTATAAAAGAAATTCACCCTACACCCGAATAAAGTTATACGGAAACCTTAAGATTTTATTTTTCGTCAACAATCTTTAAGATAAATCTATTCTCGCGAACAAATGGAATCGAATGCTGTAATACTTCTAACTGAAAAAATAAAATAAAAATTCTCAGATACTCCTTCTTTCCCCTTTTAATCTAATATATTTATTTAAATCATCTATCTATTTTATTAAAATAGAAATACACATATAGAATACCCTTTAGATTTGAATAATATTTATAATCTAATGTCATTAAGAATTTAATTAACTTAATACAAAAATGTATCACTAGTAGAATATTACGAAATACACACGGAAAATTTCGTGTCTACATCTATTTTTCGTGTCTATATGAAGAAATATACACGAAAAGTCACGAAAAAATTTAGTGTGTATACGATTCGTGATTAAAATTTGCGGTGACAATTCGTGACTCAAATTGTCACGGGCTAGGCACGATTTAATTCATAACGAATACAGTCACGATGAAACACGAAAGTGTTCGTGTCTATTTGTCACGGTTTGTTCCTGTCTATTTCCGTTACAGTTTGTCACAATTATAAGTATGACGTTATCGTGGATAGGTTGGTCACGATTGTGTCTTGATTTATTGTGTGATTATTTAGACATGAATTGGTCATTGTTGTAAACATGACTAAAGTCAAATTTTTGTAAAAAAAAGAAAAACTAAATACGAGAATTTTCAGCCTAACAAAATATATTACAATGATAATTAAAGTTGTTAGAAAAGGATCGTTACATTGACAAAAAAAGACCTAGTAGCATCCTTGTTACATAGTTCTTACAAAAGCTAGAAGAGATCAACTTAAGCAAGAAGCCTAAGGAGTTGAGGCATTGTCAGGTTGGTTCACTGGACGAGAAGCAGCACCAAGAGCCTGTAGAATGACATTAAGGGAGCTTCTTGTTGCAGCCATCTCCTGCTTCATCTCAGTCTTAAAGGCTAAAAAATCTCCTTTGAGAGTTGCCATATCAGTCTTGAGAAGTTCCACAGTGGCCTGCACATGTTCAGCATTTGTCTCTATTCCAGAGACGCGCAAGTCCATGTCTAAGCTGCGTTTAAGAGATGCTGGGAACTGGACACTCCCAATTCCATATATACCCCCTTTGCTTGTCGTAGCACACTGAAAAAATGGAAACAATGATTAATGGAAACAATGATTAAAAATTACATGGACAGAGACATAGTAGACAAATAAAAGTCCAGCAACAAAACATAAACAAGTAGAAGAAATGATGAACCAAATAGAGAACTTTCTAAATTATATGTAGAACAAATTGTAAACCATACAAGTAACGAAGCAAGAAATAACAATTTAAGGGGTACCTTGAGAAATTCTTGATCAAGGAGGAACCGCCTTGAAGGGGCAGTTGTAGCAGTTGATGCAGTTGGGCTGACACCATCGGGAGAGTCCTCATCGAATGTCATAGAGTCCACAGCTTCCTCCACCTCTAGGACAAGAGCCTCAGCACGTTCATCAATGAACAAACCATCCTTGCGAGTGTGTGTCTTGCGCACAAGGTCAATGAAATATGGTGGCTCGTCCAATCCACCCTCAACCATCTAGAAAACATAAAACAAGGTGTATGTATGCTCGAATAACCGGTATATGCTAAGTCCGCGTATCTGTATTGATGAGAGAATTTACTGTGAATTCCGGATAAAAGCTATGTTGGTTTTTATTTGATGGTCCCGGACGAGTGGTTGGGAGTCATGGATCATTTCATACTAAGATAGATGATCCTGATCCCACCTGTTTGATTAGTCCTTTGTTAACCAAATATCTAGCTGAGATCATACTCCTCCAGCCATATGACGGAGAATATGATCGGATCGGTTCCAGAGGTGACGCATTCCTATAGTACCGACCTTTGAAGACACGAGAAACAAGGTATTTGGTTCTCAATAAGGCGCCATAGTTGTTTGCCTAGAATTGCCGGGTTGATATTCTTGAGGTCCTTAAAACCCAAGCCTTCCTTCCTCCTTATCTAGGCATAATGTATCCCATAATTTCCAATGCATTCCTCTTGTGCTTCTCCCAGAGCTCCACCAAAATTGTGCTACCGCACTCGTTAGTTTCTTTGTGGTTGCCTTAGGTAACCTATAGCAGGACATCACATGATTTGGTAATGCCGTAATCACTGATTTGATAATCACTTTTTTCCCTCCCTTCGTAAAAAACCTGAAGGTCCATCCATTAACCCTCCTGTTTAAACTTTCCTGTACAAATCCAAATACATGTATCTTAGACCCGTCCCGACTCTCTGGTAGGCCTAGATATGATCCCATACCTTCAATATACTGAATTCCTAATATATCCCTTAGCCCTTGTATGTTCTCTTCCCCAATCCTATGGCCAAACTGAATTGAAGACTTCTCGAAATTTATTAATTGACCAGAGACAGCCTCATATTCCTTAAGTATTTTGACACTCCTTCGGTTGTGCCTTGCAAAAAAAAAAAGACTATCATCCGTAAAAAGAAGATGAGAAATTGCTTGACACGCTCTTCATCCCTGTTAATCGCTTATGTCGCTCCACCTTTTTAATATTGGTAATTAAAGCCTCTGTACACAAAATAAATAGATAAGGAGACAAATGATCCCTTTATCTTAAACCTCTCTCTGGGATAATGGAATTCTTAGGTTGACCATTTATCAGTAGTCGATACTGAACAGACGATATACATTCCATCATAAGCTTTGTCCAATGAGGGTCAAAACCCATCTTGTGGAGCAAAGCTTGAATAAAATCTCATTCCATCCTATCATACGCTTTACTCATATTTGTTTTTATCGCCATAAACTTTCCCTTGAAAGATTTATTGGCTCTTAAGCCATGAAACATTTCCTGAGCAATTAGAATATTATCCGAAATTAATCTCCTTGGGACAAAAGCCGATTGAGTTTCCAATATTAGCCTGGACAAACAGCTTTTCAGCCGTTGATGTAATACTTTGGAGAATCCGTTAAGGAATCGAATCATATCCGTACTGCTTGTCTCAGTTTCGGCCGCCATCGATTCACTCTCGTTAGGTAACGCCGAAATTGATTCAAAGACAGAACCTTTTGATTTGATTCTATATGGGTTTTGTCTGAATCTCGTGAATGACTTGGTTTTTCAGATCATTTTGTTCTGTTGAATTGTTTAAGTGAGTGTAGAATCCAATCTGCACACAAGGTATTCGACAAAATGCCGATGAAACATAGAATATACTGCTCGGTCTATCAATTCTTGTAATTGATTCAAATTTTGAGGCTTTTGATTTTATTCTATGTGGGTTTCTCTGTATCTTGTAAATGAATTTGTTTTCTTGATCAGTTGTTCAATTAATTGTAAAAGTGAGTGAATAATCAAATCTGTACACAATGTGTTCGACGAAATGCTGATGATACTTCAGAATATATAGATCGGTCTCTCAAGTGTTGCATTTTTTTTTAAACAGATACTTATCGAAGAAAGATATGAAAGTGATTGCTGAGTGTGGATGTCCCAGCATTGACAGGAAGGTTGTGAACTCAGGAAAGCATCTAAGAGCTTATATGGGCATTGATGAAGTAAATGTATGTACTCTACTTATAGCGTTAGCTATTTTTTTTCTTTTTGAGGTTACACGTGCTTGGAACTTACTTCACCAAGCTTGGAACAATTTATTTAGTAGGTGTGTGGCTCTTGCAACTTGAGAGGGAAATGTGAAAGGGATTATGCGCAAACACGAGAAGAGGAAGGTGCTAGAACTATAGATGTCATGCGTATACTGCTTACTTATGGGCTTGATTCCATTTCTCCTACTGTGGTGAACCGTGCTTGTCAAACCAAGTTTGTTGAAGATTCTGTGAGGAAGTTGCTGAGAGAATGCATGGAGTATAGCTTACAGGACGTTGAGTATGCTGAGACTGTGGCATCTCAAGATGACCTCCAGCCAAATTCACTTGAGAATGATGAGAGAGACCCGCGGAAAAGGCCTGGGGATTGGCACTGTACAGAGTAAGTGGTCTTAATGCATTGTTTGTTAATTTTTGTACTCTCTTTTGTTATGAACTGTTCTTGTTTTTGGCAGATGCAAGTTCCTAAACTTTGCGAAAAACATAAGATGCTTGCGGTGTGATATGTTTTCTGAGGAGAGGCTGCAACAGTTAAAGCAAGAACAGAAAGATCATCTCCCACTGAAGAAAAGAGATTGGATATGCCAAACGTGAGTACATCTTTTTACAGTGTCTGGTTCATCTAATTAAAGAAACACTGAACTTCCAATTCTTTTGCCGCAGATGTAATTTCTTGAATTTTGCAAAGAACACGAGTTTCTTAAGGTGCAAAGACAAGCCTTCGATGCGTCAAATCAATCCGGGAGAGTGGGAATGCAAGTCGTGAGTCATCGTCATCATCATCCGTTTTGTTTTAAAACTAGTGTTCCCTTGTTTGAAAGTTTATATCATTTTGTATACATCATCAGGTGCTATTACATCAATTTTAGAAGAAAATCTGTGTGTTTGAAGTATGATCACAAGAGACAAAAGGCTCCAAACGCCACACCGGATTCAAAGAGTGTTGGTGATCATCACAGCAGAGTTTCAAAGACGTGGAGTTTCGTAGAAGAAGAGGAGGAGGAGGAGGAGGAGGAGGAAGAAGAAGAAGATGGCGTGATGGGATTTCCAGTGGAAGGAGGGAGAAGTAGTGTTTCAAGGAGTGTGGAAAAGAGAGAGCAATGGAGATTGGAGATGACACAGAGGATGAGAGGCAATGTGCATGAAAAGAACAAAGATGATGATGATGACGAGAGAGAATCAAGAAGATGCTATGATTGGAGAAAGATTGAGCTTATATAAGAGTTTTATAAGGGTTTATTGATTTTTTTATATGGATTTACAAAACTCTTTAAAAAAACAAATGCATCAAGAATATATGTGTAATTTATAAATCATTTATAAATGTTTATAAATAGTTTATAAATGTTTATAAATGATTTACAAAGATTTACAAATCCTTTATAAAAGTTTATAAATCATTTATAAGATCTATTAAATTAATTATAAAGGTTTATATACCGTTTTAGAATCTTATAAACCATTTATAAGATTTTATAAATCGTTTATTAGGGTTAATAAAGGCATATTAATGAACTTTAAACAGATTTATAAAGTCTTATAAAACTGATTTAATCTATAAAATCATCTAAAACCTTGCAAACTTTATAATAAATTATAATTATATTTATAGAAAATTAGAAATCATTTGAAGAGTTGACAAATACCCTAGGTGAAATTTTATAAGATTGTATAAATCATTTATAGGGGGTTATAACATTATTTATATGAACTTGTAAAACATTTATAAAATTTTATATAACGTTGACAAACTTAATGAAATAGATTTAGAAACTCTTTAAGAGTATATAAAATAATTTAATAATCCCAATGGCTGCAAAGGTTCAAGGAGCTTCTGAAAAGGCACAGCAAAGCGAGATAGCAACAAAGTCATTTGGTTGGAGAAGCTGAATGGGAGCTGGTGGTGTAATCAGAATCATCTTTGGACTTGTGTTTCCCATGGTGATCTGAACCATTTTATAGTTCGTTAGTTTGGCATGTTCGTAGAACATAGTACTGGTTTCGGGAAATGCGTATACCATGTGATGTTTATTTTGTGTTCTAAATAGCGTCACTTTCTATGTCTTTAGTAAAGATTTGTGTCCTGGCTGCTGAGCACATTATTGGATTATCACTCTCTTTTTTGAGGTACTAGGGATTATGTCATTTACTGAAATGTTACTAATTTTTCTCTCATGGCCCCATTTTGATTTTCTGATTACAATAACTGTGCCTGCTACACTTTTGCAGTAACACAATTTATAAGAGTTTATAAATCATTTAGAAGAGTTTATTTATCATTTATAAAAGGTTTATAAATTCTTACATCCTCGATTGCCTCCTTCAGGTGTTTAATATTTAGAAAAAAAAATGCTCATCACAAATGCCAAGAACTACACCATTTGGTATGATCCATCTTTCATTCTATTTGTATATTCTTCTATGGATTATTTGTGTTTGCAAGAATGAAACATCTATAATGATTAACAAAATTATTTATGTGTGTTTATAAAGGTTTGTTAAACCAGTCATATGGATATATAAATAGTTTTATATAAAAATCATTTATAAGAGTTTGTAAAACCTGTTATGAACCATTTTTCATTTTTATAAGAGTTTATAAAACCTTGTATGAATATTTATAAAGTTTATAAAACACTTATAAATATTTATAAAATTATTTATAAAGTTTTATAAAACTATTTATAAAGTTTTATAAAACTATTTATAAGGGTTTATGAAACCATGTACAAGTACTTATACCTATAGCCATAATGCTCACAACATGTTCAAAAGGTAGCCTTCTTAGCACTACTCCCATTAGCACTGTTTGAATTCAACTGTCTGCTAGCAACCTGTGAATTGATTCTGCGCTTGATATCATAATGACTCCGTTTTTCCTTGTCATCTGTTAGCTTCGCCAACCAACTTGAAAGCAGATTCACCACCAGGGAACTGGTTTTTGTCAGGATGGAGAAGCAAGGGGAGCTTCTTGTACTGCTTCTTGCTTGTAGCATCGTCAAAAAATGCATAACATATGAGGTTGAGTAACTGAAGGTTGTGTTTTCAAGCCACTCTCTGATCACTTGACAAAGTAGAGCTTGCCCATGACATGAAGAATATCAACAAAAGCAATGAAACCAATGCTCATGACAAGGACGACATTATGGGAGATCTTGAGACCTGGAGCGTCATCAGTGTAGAACTGAAGCATGGATCCTGCTGCACCACCAGAAGCTCCTCCTCCACTTGAGCTGCCGCTCGGCTTCCTCCTACGCATGCTTGCAGCTGCACTTCCTCTCTGTGGAGCTCCACTTCCTACCATCCTTCTCTTATCTTCTTTAACTAACTGAGAGAGACATGTGCATACAAAATTAGCATTGAATCACTTACTAATTAAAAAAAAAGTAACATGGAAAACCTAAACATGATTAATAGTAACAATACTGTTGTGCAATCAAATCACCAAAAAGAGCCTATGCTTTTTATAGACTATATCTTATTCTATGCGAAACTGAGCAAGCATTCAACAGATTCAATGCTAATGTGACTTTCTCAAACCCAGCGAATCCATTTCTAAACATGAATTGTAAAACTAGACGGATTCAAGAGATGAGCAATTAAAAATTCTCAACACATCGAAACCTATATAACTATGAACACACAACATTCTACATAATATTACACATGCAAAAGTAAAATCGTATCAGATCAGAGATCAAAAACCATAGATAAACGCGATTCTGGTTACAACATCGAGATCTCATAATCAGATTTACCGTCTAACCTAAACGTAGCAACAGATCTAAGGATTCCTCAATCACGATACGTCTGAATTAACACAAATACGCCGGAGGTTAGATCGTACATGAACGAAAACCGAATAAACACTCACCAGAAATTGGCTTCGGAGATGATTACTAGACGAAGAGACCTTTGATTTGGAGTTGACCGGACTCTGATTTTTTTTTTTATAGAATGGGTTATTTTTTTACTCTACTTTGTCAAGTTTTTGATTTCGTGACGGAGAGATTGAGAGGAGAAATAGATCTAGTAGGTTACGGTTAATTAAAGGATAAATTAGTATTTTGACTATCAAATTTTAAGGGTAAAGATGATTAATGTAAAAGTGAAATAGTGTATCATGAATGTGCTAGTTTTAGCAATTTCCCAAAACACTTTACATTCCATTAAGGTAATACAAACTTTGATTAGTTATACATCCAAATTCTTATAACTACTATAAATTAGACAACATAGAACTATCATTATTTTCCTTGCATTATAGGGTTTCTCAATTTCATAGTTGCCTTAAGAAGTAGAACTTCTTCTATAAACACACTAACTTTGTTGTTTGTGTTTATGTTACTTAGTTTGTTATTTATGTTCATGAAATTTGGTGTAATTCAGGATAACTTGAGATAAGTATCACATTTTTGTTTGTCAAACTTCGTAAAGTTTATTATTATTTCATGTTTGTGTAATTAGGTAAAAAATTGTCAAAGTTTTCATTTTCGTATGTCAAACTTTATATAACTTAGTATTTTTTTTTTCCTTTTCTACAATTCGCTAAACTTTGTCAGAATTTTCGTTTTTCATTTGTCGAATTCTGAAAACTTAAAAAACTCGTCATTGAATTAATTTGGTAGAACTTATGATTAACTGTACAACAAAAATCTCAGAATTACTATAAAAGTAAGAATAAAACAACATATAACTATCAATATTTTTTTTCTATTATTTGGTCCTTAATCTGCATGGTCGTTTGAGAAACCACACGGGGACATCAATAATATTGGAAATAAGGATTTGGATCAGATTTGGAGAACTTCTTGATGATACCCTCGCTGCTGCATCAGCACTTAATTGGTATCTTCATAGTTTTGATTGTTTGACCGTTATTTTTCTGGAAAAAACCTGAAAATTGTAAATTAGGTGAAGAAAGATGAAAAATTAGAAATGGGATGAGAGAAAATGGGTTGAGAGGATTGAGAAAATAGTAGAAATGAGAAAACTCTAAAAACTAAAGCAATTATAGTTACCAATTTTGTTTTTGGGGTCTGAAAAAAAAAAAAATTTGAGAGGGAAAATTCTGAACTTTGGATGGGAAATTTTTTTACATCATTTTTTGGGGTTAAAGTTATACCAAGTTTGTAGTTTTACAAAAAGCTTCAAAGTTCTACTTTTCTATTTTTGACATTTCTTTTAAGTTTTACTGTACTCAAAATATTTATATTATAATTATATTACTTATATTTAGTTTCCTACAATCATTTTCCATGAAATCATGTTGTAATATAATTAATTTTGTGGCATGTATACGTTTTTAAATGTCATAAGGTCAGTACTAAGAGAAAAAACATAAAAGAACAAGGTATGTCCTCTATTATAAACAATACAAAACTGTGTGATGAAATTTTTTACTATAATTATTTTGAATTTAATTCATCAAATACTAGCAAATAATAAGCATAATACTTGTAAACAACCAAACAAGTTTAGAATTTTGTATCTTAAATGTTTTTTATTTTATCAGTTTTACTAAATTTTATTTAGTTTTTCAATCATCTTGAAGAATCATCTTGAATAATAGATGCAACAAATCGTCGTGTGCATTTCCTTCTAGTTCCTGAATTTAAATATTTTCAAGAGCAAGTATGCACTTTTATGTATATTTTAACTGAGATAAATCAGGATTCTAATATTCAGAGCTCAGAATTCATAATAGTAATTTCAAAAGAGTTATGGTGTAAAGCTTAACCAGCTAAATCTTTCACATACTCTCCACGTTATCCAATCATACATACATTGTCTCTATCTCGAATAACAATATTTCCACTGACTCAGTCACCTTAAGATGTTGTTAAACTACTTCAATTATCTCATATGTTTTACTACCAATGAAATATAACTCAAATTCAGCCTCTTCGTACATGGATTTATGGTCATATTTCTACACATCATATCCACTAGCATACAAGCTACATTTGTTTGGAATCTATTCATAACCATATCCAGCTTTATACTAGTATATTTCATAATCAAAGTGTATGTTTGTGAAGGAAGTCATCGTCTCATGTAAAAATCAAAATGTTTAACAATCAAGTTAGATGAAATTGCACGGTTAAACCATAAATTGTACCAAGTTATACAGTTCTACTAACGTAGTTATATCAAGTTATAAAGTTTAGTTAGTACAATTTTACCTAGTTACACAGTTTTACTTAGTTGTACAATATAGTTTTACTAAGTTATAGAATTTGTACGGTTATATATATACATAATTATATCATTTTGTTCATACCAAGTTATATTACATTTTCTATTTTTTAAATCAAAATACTAATCATATATGTTTTTTTTATGATTATACCAATGTTTTGATTATTCAAATAGATCGAGACCCATTGTTTTCAATGCTCAACTAGTTAATTGTGAACACAAATTTGAAGTTAAAGTTTTTAATTCTTCACAAATGAATTAATGCAGAATATAAATGCCAAATTAAATTGAGCTTGAAAAAATCTACAGTAGAGAGAGAAAGGAAGAAGATAGAGTAGGCAAGATAATGATTTTGATTGGTTTATTCGAAAAATGAGGAATAAATAATATAATACGTTTTTTATTTTGATTGGTTATGTAGAGATGAACACTTTCGACATTATCCATCCATGTGGAGAGTATCAGAATAGATAAGAGTATGCGAGAATAAGTAAGAGTATGCCAAAAATAAATTTTGCCTCATTAAAAGTATTTCAGCATTCACCCGAAAAGATATTGCGATGTTCATTATTGGCATTTAGAAAAATTGCAGCCTTCATTGTACTTTTGTTACAAATTGTATATTAAATTAATATTTAATCTCAAAGACAATTCATCATAACCTTTGACAATCGATTTTCCTGATTACC